ATACTCACCAAAATTGCACATGCTGCTCAGCCCATGCTTTGGTGAATACCTTTATTTGCCAGAGGGGTCTTCTACACTGTGAATGGAACAGTGGGCATTTTACACTTAAGTAGTAATAATAATTTTAAAAAAAATTAAAAAAATCAGTGCTTACCTAAAATCTTTCCTATCACTAAAGATGTTTGTAGGGCCGCTATGGAAATAAAAGAATCATTTCCTAGACTGGAGGTGAAAATTGGCATCCCAGAATTGGGATTAATGTTGCTAAAGATAGTTTTCTAGGTTCTAGTATAGGAAAAATTGCTTTTTCATCTAAGTATGATTAACACATGCTGTGCTTCAGGAGTAACGTTGCCTGTGCAAGGTGTCTTCGCTGGAGGGTACTGCAGGAAGACAGAACATCCCCTCTCAAGCCTGATGGCAAATAAGGTTCTTGCTGTAAGGGATCATTGGGCCTTAATTCCAGCAAGAGTTCTTGTTTCTAAATGAAGGAATTTTTTTATTTTTTTTTTAGTTTTCTCACCATTTGAACAAGACAAAACTGGTTTTGCTCTAACCAAAATGAAAAGCTTTTTCAGATGAATGCCAAGCCTGGAAGTTTTCAACCTGCTGTGTTGTTATGAGTTGTGAGCAATTTTTAAAAAAGGAGTTTATAGTAGAAATCTGAGCTCGGCAACTACCACTCAGCTGGCTGTTGCAGAAATGGTCCCACTGGAAGGAGTGGGACTGCTCCTGTGAGTTTAAGTAGGGACTGCAGAGCTCTGCCTCTTCGGAGTGATTATGGCTAGTACTCCTGCTATAATGACGGGGCTTCTGATTGCATTTATGGATGTAATAGCAGTAAATAGTCCACTGAGCTACACAGCAATAACTCTTCTGATGTCCTCTATCCATTGATTCAAGCTATCAAGGCAGAGTACACACACAGAGCTGTGTTCAGATGAAGTCAGCAGCATCCAGGTATCTGTACAGAGGTGTTCTGTTGAACAGCCAGGACAATACTGAGCTGAGAAATAGAAGTTGATGGATTGATTTACAAAAAATAATATGGCTCACAGAATTCATTAAAAGATTGCTTTGTGCTGCTAGAGAAGTCTGATGATGTCATTAATTAGCAACAGAAGTAAAAGATTAGCGGATTGGCTCTGAGTTATATTGGTGGATGATTGAGAATAATGTGGCACCACAACAAACATGAAAATGATTGCACTGTGTTTACTATTCTGGCATTTAGTAATACTGCAATAGTTGAAGATTAATCTCTTAATTATTAGTATTGATTTCTCTGGCCTATAGAAAGTGCAAGTTGAAATTTCACTAGAACTGAGATTACCTGTTTTTGCAGGCAACAGGACACAGGTTTTCCTGCTAACACCCATTGATGTCAGTCCTGTCATGCTTCGAGCAGTTGGCCAGAAGAACAACTTTGGCTTTTCTCAATAAGTTTGTGAAAGGCATTTGGTCACAGAGCAAAATGCCACATTTTGTTTTTCAGTGTAGGATAGAGAAATAAATGCACTTTGATACAAGGGCTAGGAAATATTTGTTGAGCTGGGTGGGCATGGCCACTTCTGTTGAGATTCCATGTAGCAGTTTCTCTGAAGCAAAGCGGCATGAGAAGTCACTCTTCTATCCACCATTTCCATTGCATAATGAAATGGCAAACTTTGAGGAAGTTTAAGAAAAGTCCTGCTGCTTCCAGGCCAGAGCTACTAGTTCACCTGTGCCAGATGGCCATAAAGAGAACACTCCATTCACGCTCCCCACTCACTCATATGTGCAAAGCTATTTCTGAGGCTAGAGCTGTGCTCCCAGGATGTAACTGTAACATAATATTCTTCACAGTTTTTGTTTTACCTTGTATTGCAGTCTTTTTATTACATTTTATAAAACACTGATCTGTGTAAGTTATCCTAGAAAAAAAGAAGTTCCCTAAATGTTTTGGCAAGTTCACTCAACAGGCAATGCCCTCAGAGAAGGTTTCTAGGTGAGATGAGGTGCAGCTCCAGTCTCACTGAGATAGCCTCAGGCAACCAGGGCTGGAGGAGCAGATGGGAATTCTCCTGTGTTAGCTTGACTAATTTTTCTTGGAAAGGCAAAAGACATGTGGAGAGGTGGCAAGTGTTAGTGAAGGGTGAGCATATGGAATGCTGCAGAAGAAGGCAGGTGCCTGTGACTCCTCTGCACCTGGTGGGTGAGAAGAAGGAAAATGAAGAGAGGTAAAAAAATTGTCAAGGGCTGTTTGTGACCAGAGAGAGAAAGGTGATCTTGGCATCTGCTCTTTGTTGGACTGAAGTGACCAAGGGTGGAGGCGACTCAAATTAGCACCCTGAGTGAGCTTCAGTGCATGTGGCAAACGGCAGTGTAGCAATGGCAAAATGGCACTGTGGTAGCTGTCAAATGCAAGTCCTACCTTAAAATCCTTCTAGATTTTTATCACTGCTAAATGGTATGATGTTAAATGAAATAATCTCATGCATCTTCTGTCCTAACATCCAGAAGGGAACGCACACCTACATAAGTGTCGGGTCACTGGTATGCAGACAATAAGGTGGTATGCAGAATTTTCATAGAACTGCGGGGTTAGAACATTTCAGATTTTCACGTGGTTTATACAGCTCTGAAATCCTACAGTATTTTTCAGTAAGCGGATACTCAATTGAAGGTTTTCTGCCAATTTATTCTTGTTTGCAAACCAGGCTGATTCTTTGGTAGTGGAGTAGTCTGCAAAATAGAGGGTGCTAATAAGCCACGGGCTAAAACCAAGGAAGTGACAGAATAGAGCAGAAGTAGCAGATATTCTGACAGATGTTAAAAATACAGCATTCTTACCTTTATAAAATTCCAGGCAGCCAAAAATAGGATTAGATTAAGAAGCCATAATAGTCTGCAGGTGGAAAATGGGACTGTAAAAACCTAAACCTAAGAAAGAAGGAAGAAAGGAGCATGTGGAAAAAGAGGTTGGAGCAAGAAAACAGCAGAGAGGAAAATAAGTCACTACAGGAATTTATTAGAGAAAGACGATGAAGTGAGGTGGCATTTCAGATGAAATCTGAGGATTTTGTTTTCAGTAATTGCTAGATAAATGGTAATGTGGGTATTGACAGCAAGTTAGTTTAAAATAAAAGACCCACAATATGGCTATTTTAAATTCCCCTCACCTTCTACATATCATTGCAGAAAGCCACTAATTTCAGAAGAGAGGTATCCAAAAATGTAATTGAAAACCACTAAAAATATTTGAGTCCATTGATAGGACATCATCAGCTTGAAATCAAAGCAGTTTAAAAGAAAAATGGGTTGTTTTAGCAACTGCAATTGCCCTTCATTCCCCTGTCAGTTCTCCTTGCAAGCATGTTTTCTTTCTTTCACAGTCCCTTTATGTCCCTGTCACTGTGCAGAAAGCCTAGCACACACTCGGCAGCTCTGTGGGAGACACTGTAAAACTGTAAAACTGGGCATAGGCAAACGGCCATTATAAACAAACTGAAAATGATAGAAGAAATTAAACACGAGCTTTTTTCTAATCTTTTAATACTGTTCATCCAAGTCTTACTGAGTTAGTGGTGGAGTTTTTTTTAAAAGAAATACCATTTAAGTTGTTGGTGTCCCATTTAAAGTTGAGTGATTTGTGGGGCTAGAAATTTCTTGATGGTCTGAATACAGCTGGGGCCATTAAAGTTGCATTAATTTATGAGCAATAGTACTACAGATAGATGTTCCTTGTGGGGCTGCAGAGAGGTAGGGTTCTTCTACATTCCCAGTGAGCCTCTGGGAATTTGTAGGCTTTTCAGTGCTCAGTATCTAAGTATATTCCTGGATAGGCACATAGGTGCTTTTTAGCCCCTTATATGGTCCAGCAAAAAGCCTTGTTCCAGAGACTGAGTACTCCTGGACCTCCAGGATGGAAGGAAGAGATTCTGACTTAAAGCAAGTGTGCTAGGGAAGCTCTGCTGAGGAGGAGAAACTTGAGATTTCCTCCATTAAAATAAATTTCTCCATTAAAATAAATACAAACATACATTTTAAATAGGATTGTAAGAGCTCCTCTCCTACATGAAGTGAAGATATGCAGGTTGCCATTTAAATGTTCCAGGATACATTTGCTGTTACAAATAAATGCTATCAGTTGAGATAATCCTCAGCAGCTGTTATGTAGCAGAGTTTCACCAGCTTCTCAGCAGAGCTGTGCTGATCACAGGAATGAGCATCTTTTGATAAACAGGGGGTTTCATTTCGGGGGGAGCAGGGGAGAAGTTTGCCTTGGCATTTTTTGAATGCTTTGAACAGTGCTTAAAAACTTTGAGGCGATTCCTTTGAAGATGCAAATGTACATACCTAGGTAGAGCTTGATCTGATTCATAAACATTCCTTCAGCTCCACCAGGAAAGCATCTTTCCCTCCCAAATCATGCCAGCCTTATAAAACACACCCACCCCAGTGCAGCAGGTCTGCCTGAAGTACCTGCCCCAGCCCTCCCAGCTCACTCCTGTTACTCCTGGGGAGATTCTGTTTGGACACAAGATGAAAATTTTTCACAGTGAGAATAATCTGCCATCGGAATAATCTCCCCAGGGAAGTGGTGGATTCCCCAACATCGGGCTTTTAAGATTCAGCTGGTCAGGATGCTGGGCTATCTTGTCAAGGCTGTGCTTTTGCCAGAAAAGGTTGGACCAGACGATCCTTGAGGTCCCTTCCAGCCTGGTATTGTATGATATCATTCAAGTACTTACTTGTGTTCACTCAGCCTTGTGCAGGTTGAGGCGCGCAGGCAGGGCTGTGTGGGGAAGGCTACCATGGCTGCTGCCTATGGGGTGATGACCCCATACGGTGATAGAGGAGAGGGGTACGATCTTGATGACAGGCTGGCACCCCTACAAGTTCTTGGTTCTCCTTAGAAACCGCTTTTGAAGAAAGCGACAAGGTGAAATGTGTACTGCTCTCTGCACCCCTGCCCTTTGGATACACTCAGAGATGTCCTGTGTTTTGTTTTTGAACAGGAAAAGCCAACAACAATGTACAGTGGGATGAGGACTCCGTAGAATACATGCCAGCCAACCCAGTCAGGATCGCATTTGTCTTGGTTGTTCATGGCAGAGCTTCTCGGCAGCTCCAACGCATGTTTAAGGCTATTTACCATAAAGACCATTTTTATTACATTCATGTTGACAAGGTAATATATCACTGGTTATAAATTGCCTGTCTTGCCATCTGTCAGTCTACCCATCTTTCATCATCTTCTTCTCTTTACCTCTGCTGCATAGAGTGCAATATCACTTTTTGTCTCTCCATCTGTTAATATGTTTGGAGCCTCTTTTTTTTTTCCTTTCTGTTATCTTCTCTATGTAACAGCCTTCATTCTTCTCTATGTAACAGCCTTTGTTTCTCATTATATGTCTATGAGTATCTATCTGCGTCTCTGTTGTACACTTAGTTAACAGTAATTAATAAGTTGATGCAGATGGACAGTGGTGGCCCACTGGATGGAGACCTGACCCAAGGTGCCTTGGGCAAGTTACTTTTCTTCACACTGAAAAAGGGAGGTAGTAATAGTTGCCTCCTTTACAAAAGCCCTCAGGATCTGCTGATGACAAATGATAAATAAGAGCTAGTTACTCTGATCAGTGATTACTGTAGTTGTAATAAAAAGAATTAAACAGGGGTCTCTGTACATTTCCAAATTAGCATTTAGTAAAAGAAGGTTGTGCACCACAGTAAGTGAGCGTATAGCCATGACAACATTCAGTGAGTCAAGAAGTAGAGTTGGTGGTTAGTGGATACAGGGAGGGACAATTTTGGACAGAGTAACTTGAATGTATTACTTTTTTCTCCTGTAAAGCGATCAAATTACTTGCACCGGCAAGTGCTCCAGTTTGCCAACCAGTACCCAAATGTGAGAGTCACTTCTTGGAGAATGGCAACTATCTGGGGAGGAGCAAGTCTTCTGTCCACCTACCTGCAGACCATGAGGGACTTAATGGAGATGAATGATTGGCCATGGGATTTCTTCATTAACCTCAGTGCTGCCGACTACCCAATCAGGTACAATGAATATTTTAAGAATGTACAATTTTTTTTCCTAAAGGAAATATGTATTGAAGGATATAAGAGATGACATGTCTATGCTGCGCTGCAAGAAGCAGAGGTCAGAGGGGCAGTTTCTTCTGTCTTGCAGCAGAAGATTCCTCTTGGTGAGGCTGGTGTCTGACAGCCACACTTTAGCCAAGGAAATAATCACCTTACTGTACCCTGCTGTACCCTGCTGTGTGTCTGCTGCTGACCTAGAAGGGACTGCGGCGGTGAGCAGGCTAGCAGCACTGGTTCTCCACTTCTGCTGAGGAAGCAGAGGCTGCTCTGTTTAGTCATTATTTCCAGCAAGAGGCACCTGCAAGAGAGGATGAGTAAAGTAGCAGGAACTGCTGGAGCTCACCAAATGAACCCAGCTGTGGAGAGATTAGTCCCTCCCAGGGTTCTGATCAACAGTTTGATTTGATGTCTCAGAGTGTTGAAGGTATGAATATAGATTCAGTGAAGGTAATGTTCTCCTCTTCCTTTAGTACTTTTTATGCGAAGGATTATGACAGTAGAAGTGACAAATAAGTTGCTAGGAGTCAATTATATCTTCAGCACCAACTGATGCCTGAATATCTATATTCAGATGGCGTCAGGCAAGGAACTTCTCACACCACCACATGACAAGGCTTGTGATTTTAAGTGAAATTATATTCTTTCTGGATTTACATAACTCAGGCCCCGCAGCTGCATTCAGTAAGGTTTACTACATTGTGCAAAAGAGGATAGTCCGCAGAGGAAAAAAAAAAAAGGAAAAAAACCCCTAATTTCCCCCCAAAACCCAAGTGTCCTTAAAATGTTTGTGTTAGACTATAAGAATTATCAAGAAGAGGGAAAGAGGAAATCCTCCTTGTGACATCTGTTTCCCTGTATGTTGAAATGACTGATGAAAGGGGAAGTAACTTTCTTGAGTGATTTTTCTGATGAATGATGACATAACATGCTTTTAATACTCCTAGAAAAGGAATATAGTAGATGCTTTCACTGCCTTTTGCTAATTAGGTTTCCATAAGTTTTCTGTCAAAGCATGGGTCCATTCCTGAAGCTGCTACTCGGACAGAAATTCCCACTGAAGTGAAAAATGAAAAAACCTATGAGCATATGCCTTAAAATTTTGTGAGAACTGACAAAAAGCTTTATTGATCGTGCCCATTTCTAAGCACCATCAGTGAAATGCAACAGATTTTGAGGAGAAAAAATAGGGAAGAGCAGAAAAGTCACAGGGATTGCATTTATATTGAAATATGGGAATTTGAATTAAGACATCATGATAGTTCACGTTGCATCTGATTTAAACCCTTCTGGTGTCCAACAGGAAGAGACCTAACAATTTTGACTTACTATCCTTGCTTGTAAGGGAGAGTATGTAGTTCTCTGTGTATCTCTTCAGTTTTGGCAAAAGCTAGCTTGTTGTTATTCCCTATTATTCACTTTGCCACAGAGGAATGCTCCACTGATGGTAAGTGGACTAAAGCAAGAACATAAAGGAAGGGGTAGGTGGTGGTACTTTGAGTCAAGCAAGATAAATTGTAGGAGAATAACTGCTGAAGGTCTAGTAGCATTGTAGACTATTTCCATCAAATGTACCCAGTTATCGTACTCTGGTGTGCCGAGGCCATGACCTGTGGCAATCTCAACTGCTCTTAGTTGAACAAGTTAAACCACAAGGCCAAATGGTTTCAGTCGCTCATAGGCATGACCATAAATAATCACAGGATTTGTTGAGTAGACTGTAGTCAGTTTGGTGTTAATGGATTCTTTGTAATATGGCTGTGGTATCTTGCAGTCATTCAAACTCTAAACAAGTGCCATTCAGCTGGAAAAGCTCCAGGTGCTCATTTCTTCTTGGGAGAAATTCTTGAAGGTCATGCTTCTCCATTGCAGCCACTCTCAGAGCTACATGGTGGGCTCTCGGCAGTCGGGCAGGCATCTGAAGTGCTCGCTTCCCTTTCTGTCAAAGTATTTTGTTACCAGAACTGGTGGAAATGTGCTTCCACACCATGCACTTCAGCAAAAAGTAAAAGCCTTTTTCAGTGCTACGACTTTAAAGACAGTGACTTATAGGTACTGTTACATTTTTTTTTGAATATGGAATATTACAGCTATAAACCCTGGAAAACGTTGTCTCATCAAATATATATATATGAGTCCATTTTCATAGTGGAAATGCTATAAATTAATATGCTTTATAATCTTCAGGAAGGCATTACCTCTCTGCGTAACCTATAGAGAGCTGATTGTTTTTCCAGAAAATAGTGAATAGGGTGTTTAAGTGGGTGTTTTTTCCTTCTTTCAGACCTCATGCCATGATTTGTCAGATAACGGGCATGGGGCAGTTTACACTTCTCTCACTGGTTAGTCATATTGCAGAGGATTTTGCTAGGTTTCCCTGCATAAGAACATATGAATTTTGTGGATTAATAGCTTTTATCCAGAGCTGCTTCACATTAAGCTTTCACTTCCCATCTGCCATTCCATCTGTAACACTGAAACCCTTACTGCTTCTCTTCTGATAATAAAAGCTAACCCAGCCTTGTAAGTCAGAAAAATACATTCAGTATATGGGGCTAATACTATACGATGAAGCCTAAATCTGTCCAGGGAGCAGTCTGGTATGTTCACAGGCTACATTATAATTGCTAGGAGCCCTTCATCCTTGAGAAGAGACGTCCAGAAGCAGATGTCAAGGATCATACTATATAAAGGCAGGAGGAAAAAATGTTAGAACCATTTGTTTTGGGAAAGAAACAATTCAAAATGTGTAAAGTAAAATACGCAAGCCAGGAAAATTCAGATACCCCTGTTAGTCTTCCTCATGCCTTAATGTTTAGTTTGTGGAGAGAAGTCTGTAGGTCCAGCACCTAGCACAAAAGAGGTTCTAATTCATGTGCTTCTGGTTGTTACTGCAGTAGAAACTGCTGGCAAACAGAGTCTGGACATAAAGGTGCCTCCGACAAAAATACTGTGTTTCCCTTTAGTTATGAGGCAATAATGCTATTTATTGGCCTAAGTGAAATGATGTGGTGCATTATCCAACCTTGACTCCATTCAGCTCCGTTAAACATTCTCAGCAGGAATGAGAGGGATGAAATGGCTGAAGACAGACCTCTACAAGCCACTCTGAGATGGGAGGTTGTGTGACTGCCCCTTCTATTGCTCTGAGCTTATGAATAAAAGAAGTGCACGTGCCTTCAGGATTCTCAAGAAATCATCTCTCAGTCATTGCATTCATAAAGAAATGAATGCAGAGAGTAGCCCTGAGGAGAGGGACTTGAGAGTGCTCGTGGATGAGAAGCTTGACGTGATCCGGCAATGCGTGCTGGCAGCACAGAAAGCCAATCGCATCCTGGGCTGCATCAAAAGAAGCAGGTCGAGGGAGGTGATTCTGCCCCTCTACTCTGCTCTTATGAGACCCCGCCTGGAGCACTGTTGGCCAGCTTTGGTGTCCTCAACACAGGAAGGACATGGACCTGTTGGAATGGGTCCAACAGAGGACCATGAAGATCATCAGAGGGCTGGAGCACCTGTGCCATGAAGACAGGCTGAGAGAGCTGGGGTTTTTCAGCCTGGAGAAGAGAAGGCTCCGGGGTAACCTTATGACGGCCGTCCAGTACCTGAAGGGGGCTACAGGAGAGATGGGGAGGGACTCTTTATCAGGGAATGTAGTGTTAGGACTGAGGGGTAATGGTTTTAAATTGAAAGAGGGGAGATTGGGATTAGGTACTAGAAAGAAATTCTTTACTGTGAGGATGGTGAGGCACTGGCACAGGTTGCCCAGAGAAGTTGTGGATGTCACATCTCTGGAGGTGTTCAAGGCCAGGCTGGGTGGGGCTTTGAGCAACCTGGTCTGGTGGGAGGTGTCCCTGGCCATGGCAGGGGGGTTGGAACTCTATGATCTTTAAGGTCCCTTCCAACTCTAACCATTCTATGATTCTATGAAATGAAAAAACCATCACTGTCCTTCCTTTTCCCTAACTTTTTTAAATTTTAGTGGCATTTGTTCATGATTTAAAGTTTTTTTTCTTTTGAGAGCCTCTTTAAAAAGTCTGGGGAAGCTATTGATGTCTTTAACCTCTTACTTTACATGGGTATCTATTTGCATTATTTATTGTCTCTGACAAACAGCATCAGGTAGTCAACCTTATGTTCAGGGACTGAAATTTCACTCCCGACAAGGTGAACTATGGTAGAGCATCTATTGATGCTGAATGTTTAATGTGCATTGCAGGAGTCCTTGGATAATGTGGCAGGTGAAGTGTTGCACCACTTAAATTAAGAAGTTTAATGAGATCATTTAACAGTGAATGTCATGTCACTGCTTACCTGGCCAAAAGCTTGTATAAGGAATAAGCATAATGAAACGTTTGAACTATTTATAATTTACAGTAAATCACTGAGCTCTCAATCGCCAAAGGGATCACCAAATCTAATTGCCAGCTAATGCCTGGTCTTTAATAAAGGTCAAGCAAAATTATTAGCAGAAGCTCGGGGAGTGCTGCAGAATAGTAACAAAATAGCGTGGCCTATTGATGGAGCCAGAAATGCAGACACGACTCAATTATGAGCAATCGGGTATAACAAAAGAACATAAAAGAACCCAGTGAAGCTACTTGTGTTTTGCTGTCTGGCACTATTTTAGGATAAAGGTTGCATAGCCTTATTTTTGATAAAAGCCTGTGTTGTGAAGACTCAGCCAAATGAGATACATTCAATAGAGGTTTTGGTGTGGAACTGGAGTGAAACGTGTATCATAATACAAATAGTACCTGGGAAAGGTGGCTACAAACTCCAGGGAGTAAATGGGATGATCTGACTAGACTGGTCCTTTAAAAAGGTGTGAATTTGGTATAATTTGTAGAGATCATCTTTGTCAGTCAAAAACAGAAATCAAGAACAATGAGTTAGCAAAGAACTATTGACTGACGTGTTCTTTCATTGTGTTGTCCTCTGATGGTCAAGGTAACATTGTT